ACCGTCCATAGAACACGCAGTAAATTGTAAAGAGAACTATAAAACGATGTGTACTGTAATTAATTTAACAAAGTACAAAGAATACCAATGGAAAGTGTGTGGTGACCTCAAGGTCATCGGTTTGTTATTGGGATTGCAGGGTGGTTACACAAAATACTCTTGTTTCCTTTGTTTGTGGGACAGTAGAGCAAGACAACATCATTATGTAAGAAAATAATGGCCTATTCGGAATGAGTATATTTCGGGCAAAATGAACGTTAAACACGAGCTGTTGGTAGATCCAAATAACACACTCTACCCCCTTTACACATCAAATTGGGACTCATGAAAAATTTTGTGAATGCGCTCAACAAAAACAGTGATGCTTTTCGGTATTTACAAAAAATCTTTACAAGCATTACAGAAGCAAAACTGTATATTTGTTGGCCCACAGATCCATAAAATTATGAAAGATTCTCAGTTTGAAACCTTTTTATCTGTTAATGAAAAATCTGTTTGGAAGTCATTCAAAATGGTTGTGGAAGAATTTTTGGGAAACAAAAAAAAACTGAAAATTACAAAGAAATTATTATCAATTTATTGGAAAATTTTCAACAGATAGGAGTAAACATGATTCATTTTATGCGCTCGTATTTGAGTTTTTTCCCTGAAAACTTAGGAATATGAGTGACGAACAAGGGGAACGTTTCCACCAAGATTTGAAGGTTTTTAAAGAACGACATCAAGGATTTTGGGATGAAAACATGTTAGGGGATTACTGTTGGTCCCCTTATAAGAGAAACTGATACAAATAAATAAAAAAAGAAGGCAAACATTAATCATTTTTAGTATTAATACTAAAATTATGTAATCCAGTTAAATATTTCTTAAACCAGATTTGACAGAATTTTTTTATTTCTTCTGGATAATTCTACCTAAATAAACCATAAATTAACAACTTTCTGCTGGGGTATGAAAACCGAGTAAACTAGAGTTATTAATCTTAACTTTCATGAAATATAGGGTTTCCAAAAAGTATAGTTTAAAATTGTGTTCTTTGCCCTTGATTCTACGCCAATGGGTTATCGTAATTTATCGAAATAGAGTGTGTTAACTAACATTTTTAAGTTAAAATCTTTATCTTAAGGGAAGACATTTACAAAATTAGGTATTTATGAAATTCACTTGACCTTCACCTGTAGAATGAAAACTGGGAAAATTATATTTAGCTTTTCTTAATAATAACTTAAGATCTACAAGTCTACTCTGTATAAATAAATCATAATAACATTTATAATAATAATAAATCGACTTTATTAATAAATTGTACAAAGAGGCGCATAATGGTTTTAATAAAATAATAAAAAAATTTGATTTTAACTGATTTTATCATTAATTAAATTTCAAAATATTAATAATAATAAAGTTCGAAATATAAAACTAGATATGAAATAAAAAAAAAATAGAAACAAAATATACATAATAAAAATATTATATGTGATGTATTTGCTTCATTAAGTATTCATTATAAATTTTAACAGATTGGTAGGTAGGTAAATGATTTCTGAGACATGGCAAAATTATGATGAGGAATGTGAAAAAGATTTCTAGAGCGGACATTTAGAGGGTGCAGTGCTGATCTCACAACTAACTTATCCATAAGAGTTTTTGGTTTATTTCCTTTTATGACATTATATAAGAAATTAATAAAATTATATTGACGTTTATTTTTCATTTTTAACCATATAAGTTCATAAATTTTATGAGATACTCGAACATTTTCGAAGTCCATAAATAAATCTAGCACAATAATGTTCTTTTTGTATGAGGTTTTGTGTATAAGAATCAATATAATTTCCATAGACGACATCACCATACGAGAAAATAGACAAAACTAAGGACTCTGATAACATTTTTTTCACCTTATAGAATATAACTTTTTTAAAGTCGAAAATGATTTTTTTTAAAAGGTTGTTTACATGCGAGTGGAAATTGAGATAAGAGTCAAAAAGAATGCCTAAATTATTTATGGAATCCGCTATAGGTAAAGTTAGTTGATCAATTTTTATGGTAAGATTTTGACTAAGGTAATTCCGTTTTTTTTTTTTTTGTTTCCAAATAGGATTAGATGACATTTATTTTTATTGAGCTTAAGATTATGTTTAATTGACAATTTATGAATAAGACCAAGATCTTCATTTAAGGCTTGTTCAGCAACTTGATGATTATTACTATCAATGTTGTAATAAAGTTGGGTGTCATTGGCATACGCGTGTATTTTACAGTTTCGAACAGATGTCAAGATATCACTGGTATATAGTATAAAAAGCATTGGTCCTAATATTGAGCCCTGTGGCACACCAGACTTTACGTTTTGTAATGAAAAAAATTCATTGTTTAAAAGAACATTTGACTACGGTTAGTCAAATATAAATGAATGAGATGAATAGAATTTTCAGAAAAACCAAAATATTTTAATTTGAAACAAAGTAGATTGTGATTGATGGTATCAAATTGTAAGGGATTTTCTCGCCTCAGAGAAAACGCTTTCTTACAAGTGGCGCTTGTTTACGGGACGGCTCTCGGGCGCCAGATTTGTTATGTGGTTTACTCCACAGACTTTCGAAACGGCGTCGAAAGTACTCGGGCAGCACAGATGTAGATGAAAAATTCCAGGGGTCAAAGGTCACTTAGACTCACTTAGTAGCCACAAGTAATATTTTTCCTACGACCACAAAATAATGTCATCAAAAAAAAATGTAAAACCAAGGTTATTATTACTACAATAATTAAAAAGTATTTAAAAAAATAATCAACAATAATCGAATTTATTCAATGTTCATATTTTCTAAACAAAAAAAAACCAAAAAATAAAAAAAAAATAATACAGTAACTTTCTTAAATTGCAAAGAAAAATTTAAATGTAAATCCAGGATAGTATGAATTTTAAAAATTTAAACTCGTGAGGACCACTTGAAATCTTTCTAAATGTTTGTTTTTTTTTAAACCCCTGCTACGCTACGCTGAATCAAACCCACACTACCTCTTATTATTACTTATTATTATAACCCCAGGTCGGTCAGGGACAGCCAGGAAGGAAAAGTAACACAGGGAACTTTAAGCCCTCACCGAGTTAATTGCGGATAGATAGGAAGGAAAATAACACAGGGAACTTTAAGCCCTCACTGCGTTATTTGGAAATAGCCAGGAAGGAAAAATAAAGGAACGGAGATTTTTATATTCAGTTCCCGTATTTCCCACGGTTAGGAATTTAACAAATCTATTTTTTTAAAGTCTATCTAAATTTAAAAAAAAAAAACGAAAGGAAATAAACACTCTAATTCCTATCTTTTCCCATTTTACTTATTTAATAATTCTATTTACAAAGTCGATTTATATCTGAAGCAGTCCTCGCCGTTCGAAGAAAATAATATATAAACTCGGTCAATATCCAAACAAGAAAATATTCTTCGACTGTTAATTTAATTATTAAATTTCGGAATTTTCAAACAAAATTATTTACGAGTTAAAATGTAAATCTCAAAAGGTGTTTAAATCTACCTAATTTGATTCGGTTTTATTTTCTAACTAAATTCGATGCTACGGCAAAAAAAACAAAGGTTTTTTGTATTTACTGCGGTAAACAAAACGGTATTGGCTCGCGGCGCTGCTATTACAGTTATCGACTCGACTCTTTCGATCGCTCGGAATGGAATTAAAAATTTCTCTCTCGCTGTTCTCGATCTTGAGTCGAAAAATATTTACCAATGCCCCGCGCATGATCAACTTAAGAGGGAGAAGGTATTCGGGCACGGTGCTGGGTGCTGACGTTCGTTCTCATTTAAAATATTAAAAAGGGTAAATTCCCAAATCTACAATTTTCTATAATATAAATTCAAAACCCTGGTTTAAAATGACTTTTGAAAACCATTGCTATATTGTGAAAGTACTATGGATTTTCGGATTATTATATATTTCAAAATAATAGATACAGGGTGAAGCCAAAAAGTTGATTTATAAATTAAAATAGTAACAAATAATTAATTTTATTAAATTGATATGCCGGATTCTAATGAAAGTTAGATTTAAAATCATTATTAAGAATACTAATTCTTACAATATCATCAGTAACTTGACAAAGTGTAACAGATGTATTGTAGCCACTTCGGAAACCAGCCTGGCAATCCGGAAGTATTTTGTTTTCATCAATATAAAGGGAAATTCTATTATAGATAGCCTTTTCAAGAATTTTGGACATCGCAGTCAGAATACTAATAGGCCTTAAATTAGAAAAATATTTACAAAGTGGTTTAATTGTTGCAATTTTCCAAGATGTTGAAAAGTAGTTTCTTTGAATACAACAGTTTAGAAGGTGCATAATGTAATTATCAATATGCGGACTACAGTACTTCAGCATGGATATTGACACAGCATCAGAACCCATGGCATTAGATTTGATATTATGGAGTAGTTCATTAGCAACAAAAACAACAAAAGTACGCATTTATTTCTTCGGGTTTCTGCAGCGAAATAGGTAGGGTTATGTCTTGCTTTCTGGAATGAGGTTTATTTAAACCTTTCCATAAATCCTTGGATTTATGAGAATTAAACAGGTTGTCAAAATAGGCTCCTTTTTCACGACGTATAGAGGAGAGTGAAATTTATTAATTCCTTATACCTATCCCAATCAGTGTGTAATCTTGTTTGCTTAAAGCAAAATTTCTTTCCTTAATTAGTAATTTGATTGGATAAGTTAACCAGGGTGCATAAAGACACATTACCTTTAGGTGGTCGATATATAATTTCAATGCAAACGCGAAAACCGTTTATCGTAAATTTAATCCACAATTCACACAGCGATTGAAAAATCACAATGTCGTCCAACTCTACTTTTCCTCAGAGTCGGCGTTTTGATCTTTAAGGATTTATAGGTCCGTTTAATACTTAAAAATGCTTTGTAAACAATAGTAGATTCTTTCTGCAGAATTGGAAATAAATGGAAAACTATATATCTTACTTACTTCACAGTACTTTTAGGAGGTAATGTTTGTTGATTCCTTGAAGGAGGAGATGTAGGTGATGACGGAGAAGGACTACTAGAACTAGAAGTATTTTCCAAAGAACCATTTACCGAAGATATATTAGACGTGCCTCCGGAAGTACCCGAACTCAAAGTGGAACTAGAATCTGAGGCAGCCAATGGAGCATGCTGTATATTAGTGACAGGAATACGCGTCAACGGTACTGGCGGTTGTTGGTGATGCTGAACATTCTGAGGTATGATATTACGGGTATGGTCCGTGGGTATAAGTGGTGAAGTATCTTCGGATGTAGGTGTAGGTGGTGCAAGTCTAGATGGACCAGGTTGAGCACTGGAAAAAGATTAACATTTTAGACATAATAAAATGTATAATTTTACAATCATAGTATACAATTTGGTCTCATATCTGAATAATTTTTAAACACAACTAAAATTTTATGTTTCAAAAAAAAATAATCTAAATACGTGTTTTCCATGTGTCTGTTATAAAAATCGATGAGTTTGAACTAACATATTTAATTTCACTACTACAGAAACATTTAACTATTTCATATCGAAAAATTTTAATTTTCTTTCGGTAAAGTGGTTTTCCAAACATTTTCCGGCAAGATTTATCTGTTTGGGGATGTTTCCTTCCGTTTGGTGAAAGTCGAAAAAAATTCGAGTATATTACTCAACTTTACTCACAATCTGACATCAACATTTTCCCGGTAACTCAAACACATTTCCAGGAAAATTAGGGGAAATTTGGGAAGAACGCTTTTTCGCTTTTTTTCGGAAATCTCCCTACCGAATGGTGTAGGAAAATTTGATATTTACCTACGGCACAGTTTATAACTATAGAATCAGTTAGCTCACTCGGACCAATTGGATGTTCCAAAGTAACATCCACTCCAGAGATACAAATTCAGGATGCGTAGAAGACTGCTGTTTAAATATAGGCGGTTGTCATATTGTACTGGTTATAGTAAGAGAGCCAACTGCAAATTTCGACCGTCATCTGATAACGAAATATGCTCCAAAGGCATGTAACAACATTGTACTTTACCAAATTGCACCTGTGCCAATCCCTATCCTGAGCAAAGTGGTCCAAAAAAAATATTTTATACTTAAAAAATCACATAAGTCATGACAATCGGGCAATCGTAGAAGATATGCTCGATGGTTTGTTCGCTGTAGTGTTGTCAGGATAACTTAAAAGCTGCCTGGCAAGTCTACAGCTTCTTGTTTCATCCAATATTTTCTTGAATTTCACAAAGGAATGTTCTTTTACAAGGTTTGTCACTAGCGATATTCAGTTCAATAGAAGGACCAGATCCAAAAACCATTTGGTTGGCTGCCTTCTTGGCAAGTAAATCAGCAAGACGGTTACCTTTCGATGTAGCGTGACCTTTTGATCCATCTTAAGTTGACCATACTGTTGATGAATACTTCGGCATTCTTGTACTAACCCTTAATAAATTCGTGGTATGTCCAGGGTGAGTAGTGCCTGTCTGCTATCTGTATAGATGAGCATGTTTCTCCCAGTGCGCCCCTCGGTCGGCGGCATTGTTCATAAGCAATGTATGCTCTTTTGACTGTTTTATATCGACGTTCCTCATAATCTGGCATCGAAGTTTTCCCGCTATAACACATTTCCCAGGAAAATTAGGGACAATTTTGGATCGAACGCTTTACCGGGAAAAATTTAGCTTCAAAGAGAAGAAAGAGCAAAAATATCTTATCCAGGTTTTTATAACAGGGGGATAGGAAAATAAAAAAAACAGTAACATTTTCGCATTTTTCTCCATTTTAAAATTTTTATTTATCTAATGGTGTAAGAAAATTTGAACTTTTCCTACGATATTACCCACGACAAATTAGTTTGGTAGTCACTTGACATGCGACATGACGCACTAGTCTATACCTGCTCTGGACTATTCTGCCTGAAATAGGCATTAATATCAACCTAACCAAAGTAAAACGAATTTCCTGTTCTTACTCTTATGAGCCTAATATGTCCGTTTTTACTAAAATAAATTTTTATATAGAAACCAACCTAGCTTCCACCAGTTTAAACTAAAATTAAGGTAGGGCACCTAAACCTGTCACTATCTGACAGTCTATATTTATTTATCTTTCAGTAGGTGCAGCTTAAAAGCCGTATCTCTGAAGACAAAAAAATGCTTATAATCTTTTTGACGGAGAATTAACTTCAATATTGTATAACTGTACATAAATCGATTTTGTCGACCTATCGGCCGCCGTCACATAAAAAAAAATGTTATAACTTACTTAGTAGACAGCTTCATTAAAGATCTAGCTAGATTATTTAATTCTACAAATGCTAAAGGAAATATTCCAATTCTGCCATTTAATTTTCCTTCGGCCCAGTTTTCGTCAACTCTTCTAATAACATTGATGATGTCGCTTTTATTGAATGACAAACAGCCTTCTTCTTCATCATTTTGCATTCGAAAGTCATATAGTGCTTTGCATTGTGGAATATGGCTTGGAACTGGAGTAATGATCTAAAAAAAAAATAATTTCAATTATTGTACACTCTAATAATGCGAATTATATAACACAAAATGAAATACCAAAGATAATAAAAAGTATGTAGTCACAGATTGTTGTAACTCTTGGACTGAAGAAAATGTATGTGATAATTCTCAAATTTATGAAATAATTAAAAATGAACCTAAATTTTAAACTGCCATATATTTGTTAAAAATGCATGTATTTCACTGCGGGTTTTGGAGTTGGATAGCTCTTTTCTTCGTCTCTTAGAAACCAAGCCTTTATTTTACCATTTGCCAATATTATACAGGGCATTTTACAAAGTGTGCACCCATGTAAAATTCACAAAATTTTAATTTGGGATTTGGAAAATTCGAAAGTGTAAAAATTGAAATTTTTTGGACCGTTGGTTACAGCTTTCCTTTGAGTAGCTACTGTATCAGTTTCATCTCAGTACCGTGCGTGATAAATAAAAAATAGGGTTTTTCAAAAATACTTCTTTAGACAAAAACACTCTTAATTTTTAGTGCTTTTTTGCCATAAGGACTTTTAATTATCAAGGATGCTAAAGTTATAGTTAATGTAAGTCATTTATACAAGGTGATTCAAAAGTACTCAAGCTTAAATTTAAAGATTTTTATAATTTGTGTTTTATTGGGGATAAAAACAAAGAAAAATTTTAAAAACCCGTTAAGCCTTAACCTCACCTTTGATCAATTCTGTACATGCCATAACATCATAACACAATAATAGCAATAATGCGTTCATACAAACAATACTTGCACCATTGGTTTTTAAAGTTAAGTTGGCTTTGACATGGTTGATGTTTTTTACTTTGACGTAATTTAGTGAGAGTGACAGTATAGTCATTTTAGTTTTCTGTTAAGTATATACCTATTGATCAGTCAGGTCTTCATTTGCCTACGGTTTTAAAATTATGAATAATAACCACTTTATTACCCCAGAAGACTGTGCCTACGCTAGAGGACTTTTTGAACAGGGTTGTTCGCAGAGCGATATTGGACGAATTATGGGAAAAACTCAAGGGGCTATTTCCAACATTTTAAAAAGATATCGTGAAACTGGATCCAATCAAAGAAGAGCAGGTCAGGCCGGCATAGGAAAACTACTCCTAACCAGGATCGTTCCGTAACTCTGCAGTGTCTCAGGGAACAATTTACAAGCACAACAAAGTTACAGGCGCGTTTGGCCAATGTACATAATGTAAGAATGTGCAAACAAACAGTTCTTAAACGATTACAAGAAACCCAGCTACAACCCTACGAGGCAGCGATTGGACCAAAGTTAGAGAGACACCACAGGATTCAAAGACTCCAGTTTGCTCGGGAGCATTTGCCGTGGGATGAACGGGTATGGCCTAACGTTTTATTTAGCGATGAATCCCGGTTTTGCCTTTACAGTAACGATAGACGCGTAAAAGTGTATAGAAGACCTGGCGAACGGTATGCACAATACAATTTTAAAGGGTGTGTTAGTTACGGAGGGGGTTCGATAATGGTTTGGGGAGGTATTTCATTAGGGGCAAAAACGGACCTAGCTTTTGTAGAATGTTTAACGGCTGACCGATACATTGCGGAAATTCTGCAAGAGCATGTCGTACCATTTGCTTCATTTATTGGGGAAGACTTCCTGTTTATGCACGATAATGCATGACCGCATACGGCAATATTAGTAAGGGAATATATAGATGAAACTGATATTGCCGTAATGGATTGGCCAGCCCGAAGCCCAGATACTAACCCCATTGAGCATTTGTGGGATAAAATAGGTGTTGAGCTTCGTGAGGCACTTAATCCGCCAGAAACGTTGGAGCAAGTACAATGGGCTCTACAGCGTATATGGAATAATATTGACCCTATGTTTATATACTTAGCATGTCGAATCGCTGCCAGGCTGTTATAGGCCTTTTCATCATGTGAGGAGCGCAAGCGCAGCCGCCGTGTTGAAATAGCGCCAATTAAAAAGTTTCGTACTGTTTTGATCAACAATGGCTGGAAAAGCAATATAATCTCTACATACAAATCAATCATTAGAAAAAATCGTTGAAAGTGATTTACATTTTTACTTTCCTATCTGTATACAGATAAGGAAAGTATAGGAATCATGATTTTTTTCGACCTCCAGTTTTCGACGGATTTTTACGTTTTGGGGTCCCCTGAATACGTTTTGACTATTTTCGGAATGATGTCTGTGTGTCAGTGTGTGTGTGTGTCTGTATCCACCATAACTCATGAACCGATACAAAGAAAATCACCAAATTTTAAACTTAAGCTTTATTCCGGCGTCCAATGAACTGATTAGATTTTGGGCAGAGTCGGAACATCTGGGGGGGGGGGGGGTACTTTATTGGTGGTCATTTTTATATTTTATGGAATATATCTGTTATTTATGTTTGGAGAAGAAAATTCTTCAAATAAAAGTTACTTACAATATTTTTATCAATATTTTTTGTTCTATACCAAATTGTCCTAAAATGGTCCGTATTCGAGAAATTTGACAAAATGTACAATATAATTATCTATAATTTTTATCTTATACATAATTTCTCTAAAATGGACCGTATTCGAGATATTTAAGAAAAAGTGTAAATTTCGAATTTTGAAGAAAACTCAAAAACGGATAAAGGCAAAAAATTAAATTTTAAACTTAAGTTTTATTATGGCCTGAGGTGAAATGATTAGATTTTGGACGAAGGCGGAACATCTGGAGGGGGGGGGGGGGTACTTTATGGGAGGCCGTTTTTATATTTTATGGAATATATATTATAGAAAAATGTGTCGAGTTAGATATATGTGGAAAATGTATATATTTAGTTTATCCTCTAAACATTTATAGAGGTGCTGCAATAGGTTGTACAAAATAACCTATAATAACTAGATAGGAAAGTCATGTGTTGGACACATCAGATTTTTATAACTCTGTGGAAGCACATAGCTGTGAGCAATTAGAAAGGTTCTTGAAGTGACGTGGACGTTCGGAACAAGGAAAAAAAGTGTGGTGATTGAGAGGTTAGGTTTCAATTAATATTAACTGTGTAAAAAATTAATGAAAACAAATAATAATTATAACTCTATTTTAATTAATTATGACAAGCAACTATTAATAATTGCAAAAACACTTTAACATGAAAGTTAATCACAAGTATAATTAAGATAAATTATTTAAAATTTTAAGGATCAACATGACATTTTTAATAACATTACTGTGTATACCGAAGTAGTATTTAATATTTAAAAATATTATGTAATATCAGATAAGGATTTTCTTCAGTTGAACCACTTTCTCCATGAAAATGTAGTGAACAAATATAAGTATCTTTAGTAACATCATCCATCAATCGATCGAAAACCTTTGTCACTTCGACCATATTTTTTCCCTTATAATGCTCATTTTGAACATGTTTTAATATGTATTTTGCCAAATGATTTGATAGTTTTTTTACGATATTGCGGCAAGTCTTTTTATAAAATAATTTATACCCTGTCACATTTACATACTCATAACAACACCGTTTAGTTTTTCCTTTCAGTAAAGATAACATAATTAATTGATTTGCAAAAATTGATTTTTCAATTAAGACACTTATTACTTTACTTTTTTTTTCCATTTTTTAAACGAATACACTTAAAATTAATATTTATCGATTATAATTTTTTTCACGTGGACATTTTAACATGCTTGTTTACAAAAAACAGTACGAAAAACATAGCCGATACTGAAGCATGCACACACAAAAAAAATTGTGATGAAAAGGCCTATTGATGCTCGTGGAGGAAACACCCGTTATTAATATTTTTGTTCATAAATTTAGTTTTTCATTTTGTTTTTTGTTTTTTTTTATCCCCAATAATCCAATAAAACAAATTATAAATAATATTTAAATTTAAGTTTGAGTACTTTTGAATCACCTTGTATAAATGACTTACATTAACTACAGCTTTATCATCCTTGATAATTAAAAGTCCTTATGGCAAAGAAAGCACTAAAAATTAGAGTGTGTTTGTCTAAAGAAAGGTTTTTGAAAAACCCTATTTTTTATTTATCACGCACGGCACTGTGATGAAACTGATACAGGAGAAAACCTGTAACCAACGGTCCAAAAAATTTCAATTTTTACATGCTCGAACTTTCCAAATCCCAAATTAAAATTTTGTGAATTTTACATGGGTGCACACTTTGTAAAATGCCTTGTATAATATTGGCAAATGGCAAAATGAAGGCTTGGTTTCTAAGAGACGAAGAAAAAAGCTATCCAACTCCAAAATCCGCGGTGAAATACATGCATTTTTAACAAATATATGGCAGTTTAAAATTTAGGTTCATTTTTAATTATTCCATAAATAATGGATGGAGTGTAGTTCATGATTCTGGAGATTTTAATATTGACTTGTTAACTAAAAACACATACAGCACGAAATTAAAGGATATTTTAGTTGATACTGGAGTAAAAATATTGTAGCGGAATATACAAGACCAAATAGAAATGATGAAGGTACACTAACTAGTACATTGAGTTATAACGAATAACGATTCAGTCTCAGTTGAGGTTATCTAAAAACCAAGAATTTCAGATCATTTTATGAATTTAAATGTGCTATTAACTAGGGATGACCTGTCTGCTTTGGAAATTGAAAGTAGAGATAAGGACTTAAATTTTGATTTAATAAATAATAAACTTTCAACATTAGCATGGAACTATCGTATTTATGACATTAATGAAAAATAAAATAATTTTGTAACAAGTATTAGATTCTGAAGCGCCAAAAAACAAATAAAAATATTTCCAAGATACAAAAAGTGGTGGCATGCCTAATTCTTTTAATAAATTTTACATAGATAGTATCCAATCGATTGTTAATATGATTGATCATACAATACCAGACTATCAAATTTTAGACAGGCGCAATGAACATTTTCTTGGAAAGTTTCAACTATGTACGGTGAATTCTTTAAGAGAAATTCTATTTTCAATGAAAAACTAGAATGAAGA